GCTCCTCCTCTGCTTGGTGCAAGACGAGACCACCAGTGCTCTGCTGGCCTTCCAATTGTGCTCATAGCTACAACTGCTCTTGTTCTGCATTATCCTTGTTTCCTTTCCCTGGTTTCTTCACTGCCTTCTGTTTCTTCAGATGGTTGGGAGTTGAGGTGATATCACCTGGCAGTGGCTTCTTCAAARGCACGGTCCTTCTGTAGGACAAAGGAGCCCTGGATTCCTCTCAGGGACATTGGGACATGTTAGAAATGGAGACRAGCTGTGCTGTGGGGACCTTTGGAGGGGATATGTGTGTCATTTTCTGTGCTGCCCAGTGGTACAGGCGATCCAAGAGCCTGTAGGGCCCTAAGAAGTATCTAGTGAGGAACACAAGTCTGGGGAGAAAGAAGAATCCAGACAGGTTTATTTTCCTACTTTCTTTCACTAAAGAAACATCTGGCTTATGCAAAGCCATTTGCTGGGTTTTTCACTGCTTTATTTTGAAAGTCTGCAATTGGGCACGCTGCTCTTCTCATCTCCCATCGTTGCCTCAGGGGCAGATTCTTCTTGATTTGGGGTTTTGCTTTTATGAATTTTACTCTTTGTTTCTGGTCTGTGTTGTCTTTTTCTTCTCTTTTCTTTCCTTTTCTTGTAAAGGAGTGCTCCAGTTTGACTTGTGGTTTTGCCTTACTTTCTTCTGGGAGGTGAATTGTGATAAACCCTGCAAAAGATGAGACTGAGCAGACTGGTGCGCTGGTGAAACCTTGGTCGCTGATATGGTATTAGTGAAAGCCCTGTGCCAGGAGAAGCTGAGCTCTGAGGTTTGATTGCATCCTAAAAGCACTGCATTTTCTGTATGGGAGATTTTGAATTGAATTATTTATGAGGGGGTGCAGTTAGAGGGATTAGCACTCTCCTTCCTTTTGCCAATGTGGCTCTGAATCGAACCCATCATTTTCCCATGCATTTATCCTGGCAGTGAAGTGCTCGGTACCTGGTGAAAGATTTACAGCCCTGCTCCAGTGATGCAGTTTGTTTGGGTCTTACTCTAAATTTGTCATTTCCTCTCTGTGGGTGGCTGATTCCCTGCTGCTTGGAACAGGCAGTGGTCCAGGCAGGATCACAGCCCCAAGAGCCAAGCAGGATCCTCTAAAAGCTGTGCAAAGTGGGATTTTGGATGAGAGTTTGAGGGGATTCAGGGTGCTGAGCCTGCAGAAAGCTGCCCTCTCCCCTGACAGAACCAGGATCAGCTCTGCTGTCAGCTCCATGTCTCTCTCTCTCTCTCTCTGCCATTCTGCACTTTCCCTCTGCCCCCATTCCAGCTGTTGTATTTGAATGATCCTGTGCTAGAGGTTCAGGCAGGCTCCTGCATGTCTTGGCCTTGCATCCTCTTGGCAGAAAGCTGAGAGTGAGAAATGTTTGGAAAAGTCTTGTGG